TGAGAGCGCAGGCTCTGGGAATGCAGCCTGGTCAAAGACGCGCTGGGTTTCAAATGAATAATATTTTTTAAAGTAATAATTTCCTTAATTTTCAACTTTTTCCTAACCTGCGAACCGAAGTAAACCCGTGACCATTTAAAAGCACTGGCTGTCTTCCTCTGTACCTCCAAGGGATGTTTTCGAGGGCAGATTTCCTCTTAGTGTTAATTGCGCTCACAAAGTTAGACATCGCCACCAACTGCTCCTTGAAAAATAATAAAAAAAAGTTACACAAAAAAAGAAAAGGCATGGTGTGTATCTGCCCCCACCACCGGCTGTCACTGACCCCAAGCCCGGGTGCCTCTAGCCTGGCCCTGCCTTGCTGTTTTTCTCAGTACCCGGCCACACAGTCAGGTAATAACTGAAATGTACAGGTAACCCTTGCAAGGCAATGTTTTTGTAATCTTTTCTGGACTAAAGTCCCTTTTTGACCTAGCAGTACAGGAAGGATAATAGGGTTGTGATTTTCCGGTCGAACAGCCAGGACCCCGTTATTCTGCACTGTGTGACATGCAGAGTTCCGAGTGCCTCTTTATTTGTCTTGTGAAATCTGTAGCAAAGCACTAGATAAGGTTTCTGTTACCAACTAAAACGGATTCCTATGGCTGGATTATTTTTCCATCTGTAAAATGGGGGTATTATTATCCACAAATGGAAACAGTTTGCGCTAGAGGAAGTCTTTCTTATTAAGTCGTTTTTGTCAATTCCCCTCTTTATGAGGCAGCATTTGGTACATTAAGCAGGTAAATACTAAACTTGACTCTTAGATGCAGCCTGTCTAAATATCCTAACACCATCATAGGAACAGGTGATCATGGTCTAATGCTGGAACCGCTCATGCTAATATAAGAGCAATTGGATGAGTGATCCAAAGAGGTTTTTGACCTTTTCTGTTTCTTTTCCATTTTCTTCTCATCTGCTTAATAGAGCTGAGCAGTTATATACCGGAATATATGACTGCTGTATGACTTCAGCTAAACTCAGGATGAATTTTGCAAGTGAAATACCATCAAGATCAGGCAAAAAAGTGTAGGGAGAACATTACTGTTTTGGCAAGACAGCATACTGCAGTTGAGTAGCACAAGGACGTGAGCTTGCGATCGGCACACCAAATTACCTTTGTCTTAACCTGGATGTGTTGCTAAAGGCAACCATTTTTCTTAGGTCAAGGTATGCACATCTGAAAGACTGAATCAGAATTCACATCTCTGCCAGGTCTAAGATCTTCTAGACTTATCTAAATCTCTGTAATTTCACAGCTCTTTTTTCTAGGCATGTGTAGGGGGCTCTCTTCTACAAAATTCTGTTGTCAGTACAGTATTTGATCTCTTTGCAGGATGGGTCACAGATGAGCCTCAGGATGCTCAGCTCTTTCTAGGTGATGAGTATGGTGGGTATGTTGCATGCCTATGTTGCCTCCTCTTCAAAAGGAATCCTCTGATATTACATCAGTTTGAGTATTGTCTCCTGTAATGAAGATGCCACAAGAAATTTCCATTTTGTAATTTAAACACATTTTCTTTGGATTTTGCAGCCTGAGTGCAGAAGTGTTTTCATCTGCAGAAATAAAGGAACATTTGCATATAAATGTGAGAACTGAGGATGGGGAGTGTGTGTGCAGGAAGGGGATTTCTGCTCTCTCCGGCTTCCTTTACTCTGCCAAATTTGAAGTACGCATTTTTGAAGCCAAGATCATGGACCAAACGCTATACAGCTAAACTCATTTTACTATGACTAAATCGTTTAAAGTTACTACTGCTCTATGTTAGTTTAATTATAGATTTTCATGGACTTATTCCAGATGAGGCCTAGATAAAACAGCAGAATTTTGTCATAGGACTTGATTTGTTATAAAAAGTGTCATGAATATAATGACACTGAATAAATAATTTACAGTGCCACGTGTCTGGTCTTATTTATAGAGTATAAATTGAGAATAATTCTACTAATTTTAAAAAGTTAGTGTGAGCATACAGAGGAGAATATACCATTCTGGAAGAGCATGCAGTATATTGAAAATAAGAGATAAAATGTGAGAAATGGAGGCATTGAAAAGGAAATGCTTAGGTAAAGACTAGCTTAGTAATGACTGTGATTAGAATAGTGCAGATCTGAGGAGTCCAGATCTTCTAAGACTTATTCTAGTATGCATTAGATCATGCTGCCAGTCCTTACAGTTCTTAGCAACTTGGAAGTTCTGAAAAACCCAGTAGCAGACACTCTACTTCATTTCTTACTGCAATTTAAAGTGTAATTGTATGCACTTCAAGAGACCTAGATAAAGTACTAATAAAACAAGTAAGTAATTCTAAAATTTACTATCTCTGATGAACAATTCATATAAAGAGCAAAATAGTCAAAGCAGTGGTTGAAGGAAGGAATCCTTTCTCTATTCTGTCAGCAAATGACAAGACAACAAATTGCAAAATGGAAGAATACAAAAGGTGAAAAGGACAGAACAGGGTTGGTCTAGACATTGGAATTAAAATTGCAAAGCACAGACAGATATGCAGATTTGAAACGAAACCATTTTAATCTTATACATAGAATAGAATGACTATCTGCCATCTGGAATTTGGGGAATCCAATGAAGGTTGGAGGTGTAAACAACACACACAGGATTATCAACATCTGTTTTCAGTGGATGCTGATATATATGAGTCCCTGAGAGATAAGTTAGAGAAAATAATGGGAATTAATAAAACCTGATGATATAAAAAGGATCACATAATCGTATTTGTTTAGAGACAATATGAACTTTTGCACATTGAAAATAAATAATGCATACAATATATCAAGTCTGTTTTCTATTAATCTCTTCTTCCAGTTGCCATAAATCCTGTAACAGGTCAGCATTCCTAGCAGATGTAACATTTTGAAAGGTTTGGCATATGATATCCCTCCTATTCTTCTCCCCAGAACAGCTGATGGACAAAAATTAGTAAGTTTCGAAAACTTGCAGTATTATCTCATGCTAGCTCACTCTATCTCCCGTTCCATTGCTGAGAGACTCCAGAGTGACTATGACTATATAAATAAATTGAGCAATCTGAGTCTAAAACGTTACAGGATATTATAAAACTTCAGGTCTGCTCCTTAGACATTCTATACAAACATAAATGAATTACTACTCTAAAGAGTGCTTACAAATGTTAAAAAAAGGTCCTGTTATTATTTGGCCTTCATACCAAATTTTCAAAGGCTTTTCATTTTCAAAGGCCCCACAAAAAATATAAAAAATATTAAAAAATGTTTTGCACAAACCAACTTAAAAAGATAGGTTGACCAAGACCGATATTTTGTTGCTAGGAAGGGAACAATGATGACATTGATTATTTCCACAGTTAAGAATCCACAATGTAATTGATTTTTATCTGACTCATTTAGTGTGGGCAGGCTCCATTTGTTCAAGAAACCTGTAATATATTCCTTGAATCACTGTAACTATGAGAGATATAAAAGTTGATGTAATGAGTTAAACACACTATTTAACTCAATTTGTTTTGCACACTGAATTCCCATTTCTGACACAAATACAGGTTCTGTCTAGATCTACTGGTCGTTTTTGTAAGATGTCTCATTCATTTTGTGTGCTGACAAATATTCAAGTTCTACTTCATTCAAGGTGGATCTGATTTTGGATTTCACTGTCCTGGGAATTCATTTTCAGACACGCTGAGTGCTTGCATCTTTCATTGAGTAATTGAGTCCTGGGCTGCCAGCAAATTCAAAAGTCATGACCAGTAATGACTCCAGTAAGTAAGGGAGGTAGACTAG